ATATTATAAAACTAAATATATATATTTAAAAATAAGATATATTAATTTAAATATAGTATTAGTACCATATTTTATCTTAATATAATATTATAATAATATTTATAATTAATATAATATTAGGGCTATACTAGCACTATACTAAAAACACCCCCTCCGCCGGCACGGGTGTTCCATTTTTGGGGTTGCTTCTCTAACTAAGTAATGTCTACATGAAGATCAGTTGGTTTGGGATCTTGGGCATAGATTAGCAGGTCTCTTGAATACAATCGTTGATCAATGGTATCGCATCAGTTGGACATAAAGTTACCCCGGCTGGTAGAGTAGATAGGCGCGTCGTAGTATTCTCCATGTGAGTATGATTTGTTATACCAGCTGAAGATATTTTCTCATACAGTGTATTAAGCTCCAGATGGCCTCTTCATGATAGTCTGTGGTTTTTGGCCTGTCTAGAATCCAAACTACACCCATGAACCATACCCCGTTTGCCAGGTCCAATGATTCTCAAGCGCAAGTTAGGCGCCTTCGCACAGCGCAAAGCCACCCGCACGCTACCCTAAATACCGGTAGAGCTGCGTAGGATTAGGTGGTAACTTGCCATCTGTATAGGACAAGCTTTGAACAAGTATCCCGAGATAAGGCTCTTGATTGCAGCAGCAAGGCCTCAACCAGTATTATTGAGTGGTTTAGGACATCACATCATTCCCTCCTCGATCCATTCTGTTTCCGCTGAACTAGCCCAACCAACCCCTCATCCCTCCTCCTCTCAACACCCGCCAAATCAACACCACCGACCCACCCATTAACCCTCTGCTTAACGGCATCAACGCTATCCTTATCCTCAAAGTCAAACCCCTGCGCCTCCATATCATAGACCCAGCCCTTAAGCGCCGGCCCCAAGTGATCCATGAAATGCCCGAAGTCCCCGCCTCCGCCCAGCGTATTCGTCATGATGGGCCCGGTCAATGCCCAGCGGAGCCCGAGGCCGGATGTCATTGTTTTGTCTGCGGTTGTCAGTTCACTCTCCCTGCAGATACGGGACGTAGAGGACTGGAGAGAAGGGATGTACGCACCAAGGTCCTGCGCTGAAACAACCCCCCGCCCAATAAGACTATACGCCTCCGCACACAGCGCGGCCTGTAAACGATTCGCTATGAACCCCGGCGTCTCCTGGCGGACGATGATGGGGTCTTTGTCTAGACTCTTGTAGAAGGCGTATGCGGCGTCTACGTATTCGTCGCTGGTGCCGGGGTGCGGGACAACCTCGACGAGCGGGACTAGGTGCGGTGGGTTGAATGGGTGGCCAATGAGGATCCGGCCTGGGTTATTCGTGCACTCGGTTATGAAAGTTGATGAGGGGAGGCCTGAGGATGAGGAGAGGATCGGGATGTGCGGGGGGGTTAGAGCGTCGAGGCGTGCGATGAGGGGCCGTTTGATGTCGAGGCGTTCGGGGCCGTTCTGGACTCGTCAGTCAGGGCATGTTCCTAGCAAATGCATTTCAAAAACTGATACCTCTTGTATCAAGTCCACACTTGGTAGGTACGGATCGATATCCGCGACGAATGTTACGTTCTCCAAGCAGTTCACCGCTGTGAGTGTTGATCGCGGTACGGTCGGGCATGTCTTCTGCAGATACTCGTGGAGTTTGCGCTCGGCGTCTGGGGCCGGGTCTGTCACGATCACCTTGTGTCCTTTGGTGAGGAAGAGTGCTGTCCAGCTGGATCCGATGACGCCGGTGCCGATTACGGCGATTGTTTTGCTGGGTGTGGCCATTGTAAGTTGAGTATGAAGGTGAGTCAATGATGGGTTCTCGTTTATGGCGTCTACGATATATTTAAGGGGGCTCACAGCAGTGGGACCATAGGTTATCCCACGCCTTGGTGATATATGAGAGCCAGACAATGAGCACCTACGTAAACCTGGACCTCGGGAGGACGACTACCTGTCGGTCGGAACAGCCAGCAATATACCCATTTTGGCAGTGCATACCTCGGAAGCGGATGCCTGATGGAGCCCTAAACACCATCCCGCGGCATCCCGGCAGCTCGGCCTTAGCCCGGTAAGCTCTCGGGATAATCTGTGGACCAATAGATCTACATGATTTAGACCCGGCTTGTCGGACAAGAGGTGGAGATCCCTTGGATCTCCGCGGCAAACTTAGTCGGACAACTCTAACTAACCTCCAAAAATAAAAAAAAAATTAACCTCTAACTTTAGCTAGATCTCACGGCCTAATTAGGAAATAAAATATAAAAAAAAAGGATAAATATAGCTTAAATTTTTTTATATCTAGTTATTAAACTTTTATATCCCTATTTATTTTAAATTTTAAAAAATTTTATATTTTATTTACCCCTTAATTTTTATTTTAATTTTATATAACTAATTCCTACCTAAGGTATTTATAACTTTAAAAATTATAAGCCCGGCTTATATTTTACTTTTTTAAATATTATTTATATAATTATTTTTAAAGCTATTTATTACCTAAATTTAAACTTTTAAAGTTTTTTTTATTTACTATATAATATGCTATAAAAAACCTTTAATTTTTACTTATAAATACCTAGTTTAATATTATTACCTTAAATAGCTTTAATACATGGCGCTTATAATATTAAATTACTAAATTAATAGCTATAAGCCTTATAATATAAAATTATATTAATTTTTTAATTAATAATAAAAACTTATTACCTATTTTTATTAGCCCAAGGCTAATTCTTAAAAATTACTACTTTAATATTTTTAAAAAAGGTAAACTTTAAATAAGTTATTTAATAGCTAATAAACAAGGCAGATTTTATATTATTATAAAAAAATATTTTACTTAAAAAAAAATATAAAGCTTTACTAGGTATAATAATAGCTTATATAACCTTAATTATATCTAGCTCTTACTAATAATTTTTATATAGTTAAAAATATTCACGTGTAATGCTTTAACTTTTTATAAAGTATTATATATAATTTAATATTACCTATTAAATAAAAATTAAGGTAAAATAAAAAAAGGTAGTTATTTACTAAGGCCTTTTTACTAAAAAGTAAATTAATAATTAATATAATTACTAGGTTAGTATATTTACTAAAGCTAGAAAGTTTAATATTTTTACTAGTAATTAAGATATTAATATACTTTAAAACTTTATATACACCACTATAATTATTAATAAAAAATTTAGTTAAAGGCTTTACATGGCCATTTTCTTTAAAAAAAAAGAACTTTACTAATATTATTAAAAAGTTTAGAGTATTTTATATGCTTTAGGCTGTTTATACTATATATAATAAATTTAAATAATAATTAATAAATAGCACCTTTGCCACGCTTAAAAAAAAATAACTTAATAAATAAAAAAAATAAAAATACTAAAAATAATAAGAAATCCAAGAAAAATAGTAAAAATAAAAAAAATAAATTAAAGTTAACATGCCTGGTATATAACTACTTATATTTTATTATTTTTTACTAGTATCTTAACGCTAAAAAAGCTTTAAAAAATTAGGAGCCTTAAAAAAAAACTTTACAAAAAGTAAAAAAAATATATAGGATTTAACTATTAAAAAAAAAGTACTAAGTGCTTTTAAAAAATTTAGATTTAATATTATAATATTTAAAATTAAGGCTAAAAAAAATAATTTTAAAAACCTAAAAAAAGTTATAATAATAATTACCTATTTACTATTTAATAGCTTATAATATAGCCTATATAAAAGTATTATTATTAACTTTAGATTTTTTATACATGTTACTAATAACCTTATTAAAATAATTAATATTTATAACGCCTTTAAAAATAATATTATTTTTATTAATAATATTATTAATAAAATTAAAAAGTTTAGTATACTCCGTGTTTCTTACAAGAAACTAAATAGCTTAAAAAGGCTTTTAAAGCTTAAGAATTACGCCTATGTTCCTGGCTTTTATACTATTATTATATTTTTTAATAAAGCTATATTAGTAAATTTATATTTTAATAGCTATAAAAGGACTTTTAAAAACTTAAAAAAAATAAACTTTTATATACTTAAATAATATTATAAATTATACACACTTTACTATAAGAAATTTAATATTAATAATAATAAAGAGATTAAGGCCTTTTACACTATAATAAAAATAAAAATTTAATATTTTATAACTTTAAAAATATTATTAAAAAGCCTAAAAATTTAGTATAAGTATATAAGCTATTTTAATATTAACATAGTATTTAAACTCTTAATATTTATAACTAGTATATAAATTAATCTAGTACCTTAGCTTTTTAATAAAAAGTAAAAAAAAAAACTACTTTACGCGCCATGTAAACTCTTATAATTTTTTAAGTAAATATTATAAATTAAATTAACTAAAGTAACCCAACCCTTTAAAAAAATTTATTTTAATATTTTTATTTTTAAAGTATCTTAAAATAATATAAAATATACCTTTTATTTTTTAAATAATACTACCTAAATAAGGTAAATAATATTACATGCTAAAAAAAATAATTACTAGCGTGTTATTTAATTACTTAATACTTATGCCTTTAGGTAATTTAGCCTTTATATTTAGTTTTTTTATATAAATAATAAAATATTGTAGCTCTTAAATAACTTTAAATTTATTAAAAAATAATAAGGTTTAGCCTTTAAAATTATTATTTTTAATACACCTAAATAAAACAGCGCAAGTAAGTAATTAAAAAAAATTATTTTATAAAAAGTTAAAGCATTTTTATTAGTTACTAATATACCTTAAAATTTTATATTTAAAGTTATAAAAGTATTTATTTATATATTAAATTACATGCTTATAAAAAATAAAAAAAATAAATAGTTTATACCACTTTAAAAGTTTTAAGCGCTAATAGGTAATACTTGCCTAGTAAATATAATTAATATTTTTAAGTTTAGATTACTTGCCTACTAGCAACTAAAAATCCCTAACTTTTATAAAATAAAGTTAAAAGCTGCTATTAAATATTTTTATAAATATAAAAAAGCCTATAATATTTAAAAAATTTAAAACCCTTGTGCTAAAGCCACATAATATTTAATTATTTAAGTAAAAAATATAGTATTTAATAAGGTAATGTAGTGGGGTTGCACCCCAATATTGATTCCTGTAGTACTTATAGCCTTACTACCTGCCTCCTGTACCTAGTTTATTATTTACCTTAATAAATATATTTTTTTTTATTATTATTCCTACCTATACTACGTACTGTTTAGTCCTAGGTTCCCGCTATTATTTAGTTTTTTTAGCTTTTATACTTTAGTATTATTTTTTTATATATTAATAACTAACACAGGGCATGTTTTTTTAATATTATAAAGGTAAAAAGGGCGCCCGCTAAACCCCTAAATTAAAAGTTTTTAATATTAATAGCTATACCTTAGTAACTTAAGCACCTAAAATTATTAAAAAAAGGGGTAAAAAATTATTAAGGCCTAAAGGTTAAAAAAAATTAAATAGTAAGTATAAATTAAATTTAATAAATAAGGCAGGTAGGCCGCGCACGAAGCACCCTGGTAATTTTTAGGGAAATAATAAATTAAAAAATCCTAAGAAATGCTAATTACCTAATAAATATAATAAATTAAATAATAAAATTAATAAATTTAGTATAAATATAGCTAATAAATTTAAAGTAAAGCTTCTAGGGGCTTACCTAGGTAGTTATACTAGGTACTTAATAATAAAGTAAAAATATTTTATAAGTTTTTTTTTATAATTATAAAGTTTTATTTTTTACTAAGTATTTACAAACCTAGCCCTTTAAAAAACTATTTAAAACCTTTAATATATATAAGCTTACTACCTACTTATTAACTTTTACTATTAAGTAAAAATATCCCACGCATTTAAATTTTTAAGTAAAAAAAATAGTAAAAATACTAAGTAAATACCCATGCCTATACTTAAAAATTTTAATAATATATTTTTTATGGCTAAAGGTAAGCTTAGTAATATTATTAATAAAATTTATATACCCTTTAATAACTCCCGCGGTAGCAATACCAGCACCTTTAAAAATATAAAAGGTATAATAAAAAAAAAGTATTACCTTTTATTAATTACCCTTATATTAATTCCCGGTACTTTAGGTATACTTATATTTAATAATAAAAATATAACTAGGTTTTTAAAAATATATAAGTAAGCCTGCAAAAACTAAAATATTTATAATAAATTAAAAAAAGTTACTTAAGTAGCAGGCTACTATAGTTATAATATTTTAAATATTATTAAAAACCTAAAAGGGTACGCTAAATAAAATTAAAAGGTTTTAAAAACTATTATATTAAATAAATACTAGTGCCTTAACTAGTATTAAATTAAGTAATTATACTAGTATTTTAAAAAATTTAAAAGCTAGCTATATATATAAACTAATAATTTTTATAGCTATATTATAAAATATAATATAATTTTAGCTTAAGTTATATAAATTAATAAATTAAATAACTATATTTAATATATTTAGTTAACTTAAGGCCTCCCAAGCAACCTAGCCTAATAAGTTTTTAAAAAATTTAGGTTAAAAATAAGAAGCTACCACTAGCTTAAGTATAAGGTAATTAAAAAGTATATATTAAATATCCTGGCAGCAAAAAAACTATACCTTAAGGTTAGTAAAAAGGTTATTATGTTCCTAAAAAAAAAAAGCTAAAAAAAAGGTTATATTTTAAATACTTTTAAATATATAACTAGTATTTTAGTAGTTAAAAAACCCCTGGTTTTATTTAATAAAACTATAAGCTAGTAAAAAAGGTACTTA